CCGGCGGTGACAAGCAGCAGCGGCAGCAGCAGGCGGCGGTGCTCCAGCTGCCTGCGCCGCCGTCCTCGCCGCCGCCGCTCATCCGGCGGTTCGACCACGACAGGGAGCAGCAGCAGAGGCTGCAGCGGCTGCAGCAGGGCAGGGCGGAGATGGCCGAGTGGCGGCAGCCGCAGCAGCAGCATACCAGAACACGGGCGAGGCAGCGGGCCGTGGCGCCGGAGCAGGCCCGCGCGGCCGCGGTGGCGATCCAGGCCGCGTTCCGGGGCTACTCGGCGCGCCGGAGCTACCGGTCGCTGCGCGGCCTGATCCGGCTGCAGGCGGTGGTGCGCGGCCCCAGCGTGCGGCGGCAGACGGCGCACGCGATGCGGTGCATGCAGACGCTAGTGCGCGTGCAGGCCCAGGTCCGCGCCAGCCGCGTGGAGGCCATGGAGCGGCGCAACGACCGCCACGGCGCCATGCTCCGGGACGGCCGCCGCTGGCGCTCCGGCTCGCAGGTGCGCACGGCACGCCAGGCACTTGGCTCGTCTTTCCGTTGACACTCACCCGTGCATGCATGTGACGAAGTTTTGGAGGTGCAGGACGGCGGCGTGTGGGACGACAGCCTGCTGAGCCGGGACGAGGAGGACGCGAGGACGAAGCGCAAGGCGGAGGCCGTGATGAAGCGCGAGCGAGCCCTCGCCTACTCCTACTCCCACCAGGTACGTACGTACTCTACGTATTATCTTCCAGAAAAAATAGTATACACACAGCACGATCGATCACGTCTGAATCTGAATTCTGAAACAAGCAAAAGGGACAGCTTAATTCCTTCCGTCAGTCAAGCAGCGGGAGTAGTTACAGCAGATTAATATTAGCGAGAGGGTGACCGAACATCTCTTCCATCCATCCATCCTCCCGACAGAGACCAGTAGGTGCGAAAAAATACTTTCGAGCGGCCAGCGAAAAGCTAGTGAGCGAGCTACCGTATTTTTTCCCACCCAGAGGTGTGGTGTCATTGTTGGAGAGTTGGAATGTGTCTTCTCTGCACCTGTCTGGTCGGTCTCGCACGAGCTGTTTACACATTCTGTCAGTCCAACTGTAGTAGTTAGTGCATGTTCTGCATCAGGGATGCTTGGACGAATCATCTGAGAGGGACGTGTAGGTGATGAAAATTTTCTTGTGCTTCGATTCGATGGCGTCGATGGGCCAACTAGAGCCACACTGTCAACGTTTTTCTTTGTCAGAGGTGTGGTGTCACTGTGTTGCTTATCTGAAACTAGGCGTGATGTCGTTGTCAGTAGGTACTTGGATGGTTTACTATGTTCTCCCTGCACTTGTCATAATCTAGTTCTTTTATTAGAAGATAATATGTTCCTGGTTTTTTTGGCTTTTTTAGCACCCTGATTTGTTCATGTTGGTGTCCTCTTGGCACGTGGATGGATGTAGGTGATGAAGTCGACGCCGATGGCGGCCCACGCGATCCTGGCTGACCTCCAGTCGGGCCGGAACCCATGGTGGTGGTCGCCCATCGACCGCAGCAGCCACGAGCGCGACTACCCCCGCCACGTCGAGCCCGCGGTCAGCCGGCCCAGGCCCACGCCCGCCGTCGCGCGCCGCGAGATGACCATGAGCGTGATGACGCCGATGTCCACGGCCGGGCACCGCGAGATGAACATGAACATGATGACGCCGATGTCGGCAATGACCGGGCACCGCCAGATGAGCATGCCGACGCCGATCTCGACGACGGCCGCGCACCGCCAGATGAGCACGGCGACGCCGATGACGACGGCCGCGAACACGCCGGCGCGGTCGGTGGCGTCGGCCTACTACAAGCAGCCGAGCAAGCCCGCGCGGGACGCGCGAGGGGCGGCGGCGCCGCCGTCGAGCCACGGCGGGGGCGGCAGCGTCCGCGACGACGAGAGCCTGACGAGCTGCCCGGCGTTCGGCGTGCCCAACTACATGACGCCGACCATGTCGGCGTCCGCCAAGGCCCGGGCGCGCGCGCACCTGCTGCAGCAGCAGCTGGACAAGGAGCGGCGCGCGGCGGAGCAGAAGCCCAGGTTCTCGTTCGGGCTCGGGCACAGCATCGGGAGCTGGGCCAAGAGCCCGTTCTGGCGGGGCGGCGGGGACCAGTCCGCCGCGCCGTCGCGGGTGGGCACGCCGGCGGCGTCCACGGCGGGCGGTGGCGGCCGGCACAAGCACCGGCGGTCCGTCAGCGGGCTCAGCGTCGACTCCACCGTGTCCATGCCGGCCGGCGTCGGCCGGCGGTCGTTCAAGTAGCTCGCGCGATCTCCTTTCGATCTTCTCCATGATACTTTGGTCTCTGCCCGGTGTAACAATCTGTATCGTGTGCTTGGTTTGGTCTTTGGTGCGTGTCTCTGTCGATCTTGCATGTCGCATTTGTTTGACGATAGTGGTATGTGATTCGTTGTGCTTGGTTTACCCGCGGCTGCTGGTTTCCCTTTCGCGCGTGGCCTTCCGTTTTTGAGGGGCCGGTGGCTGCGATGTAAATGCAGTACTGCGGAGAGTTCATGGAACATACTGTAGTTTGTGTGCATTGGTATGTGTTCCGGTTTGCGTGTCCTTGTCATAAGATCGCCCATGGTGGAAAATTTGTGCCATGTGATCGCCTGTCTCGACAAAATCTCATCAGACGTCTCACCCTTTGCCAACCCTCTTTCAAGTTGTTCTTCCGAGAACAATGTCAGCAATCAAGGCGCGACATCGGCTGATGGTGAACAAGGCGCAACGATAAGAGCATCTTCAACAGCGGCGCCAAAAAAAGCGGGCCGCGGTAAACTGTCACTTTAGTGTGCACGGGACGTTTTCACGCGCTCCAGCGGTGGCAGAAAACGATTGCGCGCGCGCTAGATTTGGCGCACCGCTTTCGGCGCGCCTATAAATTGTGGCGCTCGCCACGCGGCCTCCACACTGTCACACGCTCTCTCTGCCGCTTGCTCGCCGCTTCCTCGCCCTGCCACCACCATGCCGCCGCGCCGCGGGGATCGTCTGACTACCGCGGCGTCCGCAAGCGCCCCGGCGACACGTAATACGCCGAGATCCGGTCCGATGACGTCCGGCTCGGCCTCGGCACGTTCGGGACCGCGCACGAGGCCGCCCGCACGTACGACACGGCGGCTGGCGCCTAGAGAGGCCTCCGTCACAGATGAACTTCCGCGACGTCTACACGAGTGAGCAGGTGCAGGCCGTCGCCTCTTCGCCTCGTCTTATCACGGACCAGGACCGTGCGGAGCACCGTCGGCGGCAGCGCCGCCTCCTCATCACCGAGGAGGATGAGCAAGCCATGGCGGAGTGGCACCGGCGTCACCGGAGGACGTCGCCAACGAGCGCGTCTACTGGGCGGAAAGGACGGCAAGGCGCCGCACAGAGCGGGTGGACAGGCGTCGGCGGAAGTCACTGACCATATCACAGTGCGATATCATTGAAGCAGGTGGGGAGTCGATCTTTGGGGATAATGATTTTCGTTGGGAGGACATTTGGCTCGATACCTCGGACAACACCAGCGAGGATGATGATGATTAGGACGACTCAGAGTAGGTTGTAGTTGCACAATAGTTTATCTAGTAGCACCGTAGTTTTTATTAGTTGCACTATAACTTTTATGTAGTTGCATCATAGTTTTATCCATCTATGCTATGAACTATGTAAAATATCTATGTATCGTTTTATCTATGCTATAATGAACTATGTATCGTTTATTATCTAAAAAATATCTATGCAACCTAGTCTGGAGTGTTCGTGCGAGAGCGCGCGCGCTGCATTTTAACGCGCCTGCTGGAGCTACGCCCGCGAGCTAAATTTTAGCGCGGCTGTTGGAACCAGCGCTGCCCGCCGCGCCAAATCAGACGATGAACGCGCTGCAAAGTAGTTTTTAGCGTGCCGTGCGTTGGGCGGCTGTTGAAAATGCTCTTGTTGGGGAACGCGGTAATTTCAAAAAGTAAACATCTTGTAATTCATAACATAATTATATGGGTATTTTTAATTAGTAAGTGAACATTTTCTTAAATTACATGAACATTTTTAATGTAATTTATTTTATATTAAATGACATGAAGATTTTTTAATAAAAATACATGAACGTTTTTAGTGTAATTTATTTTGTTACAGACATAGCCTGAAGAGTCATGAAACGTCGCTCATTGGAGCGCGATAACCTGCGTTCATCGGATCGAACACATGAATTGCCTGCAGGTCGGCAATTCCAATCCCCCCACCCGATCACTACTCCACCCGATGCTAGGCCGGCTGAGTAGACGGCTTCAAACGAAAATAGGGTGCCACAGTTAAGGTCCACAGACGGCAAATGCAACTATATTGCACGCAAAAGCTAAGTTCATGCATCACTTTTTTGTATGCCACAAGTCCAGACATCAAAGTGATCAGCCGTGGCAAATTCAGGCACCGTGGTGCATTTACCTCGATCCCCCGCTGCTTGCTGCCCAGCACGGCGGCACCGACCGCCACACGCCACTGTTGCATCGAAGATATTTCTGAGTAACTGGCCTAAGCAGGTTCAGTACACCCTAGCACACAGCAACTACAGTTGCGTTTAATCCCCACTTCTACCAATAGGTGCCCAGCACCGCCGCACCGGCTCACTCAAGACAGCCCAGACAAAGCGAGCCAGTCTGATTTCAGCAAGAACTCTGAAAAATAGCACAAGTTTTCCCAAGTTGTACTGTAGTAGTACTGAATTGACTGCATAAATCTAGTTTAATTGGCTGCATAAATCATGCACTTACAAGTTGAGTCATCTATTTTGAAATTGAAGGGAGTACAACCAAGTACCCAAATCCAAAGCAATATAAATATATTTCTTCGATTAAATAGGTCAAAAGCAATATACATTTGCCTTGACATCATATCATAGTACAAAAGAATCTGAGACCACGGTACACACAGTACTACTAGCACAAAAGAATAGCGACAGCAGTAACACCAAGGAGGCGCCGCTCCCCACAGCGGGTGAAGATGCAGGGAGCGCGGAGGCTCGCCGCTCAGACATGGTAGGCGTCGGCCCAGTTCTTGGCGCGGCGGAGGTCATCGTCACCGTCGTCGTCCTCGTCGAGGCGCAGGGAGAAGGCGAGCGCGAGGGCGGCCCACTCGAGGACGAAGATGGCGGTGCCGAGCCCGCCGACCATCTTGAGGATGACGGCGCCGTCGTCGTCGCGGACGTAGGACTGGAGCTCGGCGAGGAAGTCGGCGGTGCGGGTGAATGCCAGGAGCGCGACGGCGCCCTGGAAGATGGCGGTGAGCGCGGCGCCGGCCGTGTGCGCGGTGTGCCAGGGCGCCGGGTTGGCCGGGCCGGCCGTGAAGGAGCCCGAGCACCCCGCGGCGGAGAAGACGGCGGTGAGCGCGTGGAGGAAGACGAGGAGCAGGCCGCAGGGCGATGGGACGAGGCGGAGGGAGAGCGTGAGGAAGATGCAGCTGGAGGCCGCGCCCAGCAGCGCGTAGTTGCAGAGGAGGAACGCCTTGTGCGTGTGCACCTTGCCGGACGCCATCGCAGCCGGCGGGAGTTGCCTCGTGCTCGTGGTCGGATCGAGAGAGGTTTTCTTTGCTTGGTGGGTTGGATCGGGAGTGGGGATGAGGAGTGAGGAGTGGAGGAGAGGGGTGGGCGGGTTTTATGCCGCGCGGCGCGGGGGAGATGGCCGTTGGGGGCGCGGCGCCAAGGGCAACGGCTAGTCGGGAGAGAGCCGTTGCTTTGCTTTGGCTTCCAGTGGGCAGCCAGCCCGGTCGGAGAGCCTGGCCAGTGGGCAGTCGCCTTCTTTCGATTTTTCTACGTAAACCAAATTAATTAATTAAAACATTCTTCCTCAAAAAAATATTCATTAATACGCCCCTTTTTAAGGTAAAACCATTATGGTGAATTTATTCAATTTGGCAGAAAATAAATTGAAGACGTCATTAATTCATTTCTAAAGCACACTCCACAATTCAAGTATGATAACTATGAGCCCATTTCGGTTATAAAAAAATGAGTCAATTACATCGGTGGTGTTAGAACTTGACGCAAACGGTCACTTTAGTGCTAGAACTTGTGTCATATATTGAACTGGTGCAACAACTTAGCTCGGGCGTGCAAATACGGTGCAAATCAGGTTTGATATGAAAACAACAGTGACTTAAGGCGCCAGCGTGTCGTGGGGCCCGCCTCAGCGACCGGAAGGCAGAGAGGAACACGTGTGGCTTGCTTTTTTCCAAAAATCCCCTTAAATTTTTTTATTTCTCATAAAAAGCGCCCCTGTCTACGTGTCAGAAGGCATTTTATTTTTTCACCTCTATGACACATGGGTCCCAGCTGTCGGTAATGGAAAATTAATCGGAAAAAGATGGAATCCATGGGTCAAACTCAGCACCTACAGCTAGAATGCTATACAATTTTTTTTTTGAGACAATCACGCGAAGCTTTATTTAACTTGTGCCAATGTTCAAAGGTACAAAAGAAAGATTACCAGGATTGCCTAACCACATATGGCGGCCAACCCCCAAATTCAAACTATACTTCGCTAGATTGTGAGCCTCGAAATTCGAGCTCCTAAACTCATGCACAAAGGTACATGAAATAAAAGTGGAACTATGATCTATGATTTCATGCAGAATAGCTCCATAGATAGCCGGTGTTTTGTTCTTGATGTCGTCCAGTACAACTTTGCAGTCAGAAGCGACATGTATTCTGCGGCTATTAAGATCATCGGCAAGCGCCAAAGCCTCTCTGACTGCTAATGCTTCGAGCGTTGGTGGATCATTGGTTCCCTTGATAACCAGAGCCGAAGCACCTTGAAAGATGCCAGCTTGATCTCGACAGATAGCAGCAGCAACTCCTCGGTTAGTTGCGGTCGCCGCATCCACATTGATCTTCGCATACGTGTCCGGTGGTGCAATCCAGTGGCTAGGTCTCGCCGCTTGATGTTGTTCCTGACCACTGCCCACAGCAGCGATAGTTTGCAGGTCCACTATGTATGACTTGATGAACTGGTTAGTTCCTTCAGGACTCTGAAAAACCCCTTCATATATCGCCTTACGTCGTGCTCTCCATGTGGCCCAAAGGGTGACCACCAGCAGAACGAACCTCTCGTGCGTTAATTGATCATGCATTTCCAGCAGCCAGTGTTTCGCGTTTGGATTCGTGTTCATACTCAACAGTTGCACCAATTCATCCTCAGAGAGCGCCCACACACACCGTGACATCGTGCACTCCAAGAGTGCATGTCTCCATGAATCTTCCCTCCCGCATAGCAAACACCGATGAGTATCTGACATGTGCCGGTGATGCAATACGTCCATCGTCGGCATAGTGTGCCTCGCCAGCCGCCACAGGAAGACCCTTAGTTTGGATGGCACCTTTATATTCCACAATGTCGACCAGTCCCTTCGGTTAGCATTCAGTGAGGAGCCGCCCGGGGTCCGCTCCAGCCAGTCCCCTCGTTCCTCCTTCTTGGACATTACCATCCGGTAAGCTGAACTAACAGAAAATCTGCCGCTCCTCTCGGCGGACCAAGCCCAAAAATCCTCTATCGCCCTAGTGCATATCGGTATGGACAAGATGGCTTCAGCGTCGAAACGCACGAAGGTGTTACGGATCAATTCCTCTTTCCACGATGCTGTGGTCGAATCAATAAGCTCCGCTACCATCACAGGCGGGTTAGGAGTGAGGGCAGTGATCGGTCTGAAAGGTCCAGACCTCTGTAACCAGTTATCTCTCCAAATGTTTGTTGTTTGCCCATTGCCAATACGCTTAATAATGCCTTGCTTCAGAATGTCTCTTCCATCAAGAACAGCCCTCCAAATCTGAGAGGGGTGATGGCCTAGTTCTGCCTCCAGGAAGCTTGTGTTCGGGAAATATGCAGCCTTCAATATCCTTGCACTAAGTGAGTTTGAATCTTCCAGTACTCTCCATGCCTGGCGAGCCAACAAAGCAAGGTTAAAAATCTCCATATCCCTAAACCCCATGCCTCCAAGGTACTTTGGTTTCGTCATGACGTCCCAAGATACCCATGCGGGCTTCCTCCTTCCTTGTTTGCTCCCCCACCAGAACTGCCTTATAATGGATTCAATATTTTCACAAAGGCCTCTGGGTAACCGAAAGCACGCCATTGAAAATACTGGGATTGCTTGAGCCACTGATTTGATGAGCACTTCTTTCCCTCCAACTGAAAGAAGTTTTTCCATCCATCCTCTCACCTTCTCCCAAATTCTATCTCTCAAATACTTGAAAGTACCCTTTTTAGATTGGCCAACTTCCGTGGGCATCCCCAAGTATCTTTCACTCATAGATTCATTTGTTACATTCAAAATCTGTTTGACCTCATTTCTCACCTCATTTGGGCACTTCTTGCTGAAAAAAGATTGAAGATTTTGCATTGTTTGTCTTCTGACCCGACGCTTTACAGTATATCTCCAATAAAGCTGAGACCCTCGCAGCCCCCTCAACACTTGACTTGAAAAACAACAGGCTATCGTCAGCAAAAAGGAGATGGTTGACCGCCGGAGCTGTCGGAGCCACCTTGACCCCTTGAAGACTAGACGAAAGAGAACTGGATCTTAAAAGGCACGAAAGGCCCTCTGCTGCAATCAAGAAAAGATAGGGGGAGATTGGATCTCCCTGACGGATGCCTCTGGTAGGAGTAAAATGTTCAAGCTTCTCTCCATTGAAGAGGACTGAAAATGATACAGACTGAACCATATCCATCACTATATTAACCCAGGAGTGTGCAAATCCCAGCTTCTCCATCATGGCTCGAAGATATGGCCACTCCAGTCTATCATAAGCTTTCATCATGTCTAATTTTAGTGCACAAAAACTATTGGTTTTTGCTCTGCTTCTTTTCATGAAGTGCAAACACTCATATGCACATATGATATTATTTGTAATCAACCTTCCTGGAACGAAAGCTGACTGTTCCTGAGATATGATGTCTGGGAGGATCACTTTGAGCCTGTTTGCAACAACCTTGGAGGCAATTTTGTAGATTACATTGCACAAACTTATAGGCCGGAACTGAGAAAGTAAGGTAGGATTCATTACCTTCGGGATGAGAACCAAAACGGTGTCATTTATAGATGCAGCACTTTCCTCCCCTCTGATAATCCTCAGGACAGCCTTGGTAACTTCATCCCCACATATATCCCAATGCCTTTGATAGAAGTGGGCGGGGAACCCATCCGGTCCCGGTGCCTTTGTCGGGAACATTTGAAAGAGGGCTGTCTTGACCTCTTCATTTGTGTAAGGTGCCAGAAGAGCGGCATTCATCTGCTCTGTAACCTTCACCGGTACCTTATCAAGTACCTCCTCTATGCCACTCACCCCTTCTGATAGATACAAGTTCTTATAGAAGTCTGTCACCATGACTTTGAGTTCATTCTGGTTCTCTGTCATCACACCCAGGGATGTTGCCAAGGCCTTAATCATATTTCTCCTCCTCCTCTCACTTGCCCGAAGGTGAAAGAAGCATGTATTTCTGTCTCCCGCCGACAGCCACTCCAGCCTCGCGCGTTGCCTCCACATTATTTCCTCCCTGTGATATAACTCAATCAAATTCTCATTGACCTTCAATTCAATACGTGACGGCGCTGTTCTAGCCGAATCGCTCCGCAGGCGTTCTAGTTCCAACTTTAAACTTTTTATTTCCTTCCGTACTGAGCCGAAAGTATGCTTATTCCAGGTTCCTAGCTGTACCGAGACTCTTTTCAACTTTGCTCTTAGATCTGCCATGCACTCCACCGGATCTCTTGCCCAGCTGGCAGCAATTGTGTCTCTCCACGTCTCGTGAGTTTCCCACATAAGTTCATACTTAAAGCCCTTCTTGTGCTTAGGTGCCCTCCCTTGAAACTCTAGCAAGATGGGACAGTGATCCGAGGTCGCTGCTGTTAGATGTTTAACTTGTGCATTTGGGAAACGTTCGCTCCATTCTGCTGAAGCCAGAGAACGGTCCAAGCGTACCCGTGTGTAACTGCCACCAGTAACCTTTTTTTCAAAGGTCCAGAATTGGCCTAGATAGCCTATGTCCATCAGCATGCATACGTCTATGGCATCCCTGAACCCCTGGATTTGGGCATTGCTCCTCTCCCCAATGCCTTGTTGCTCCTCCGGACGTAGTACCTCGTTAAAATCCCCTATGCAGACCCATGGGAGGTTACTCAAAGTACTGATTCCCTTCAAAATATCCCATGATTGATATCTCAAATGAGTCTGCGCCTCTCCGTAAAAAAGTGTCAACCTCCACGGGTCACGACCCGGTTCCTCAACTGAACAATCAATATGGTACACAGAGAAGCCCAAAATCTCAATTTTTATTGGATTGTTCCAAAACAAACCTAGTCCTCCACTTCTACCCTGACTACTGACCGCATATCCATTATCATATCCAATACTTCCAGCTAGTTTTTCTACCCTCGATCTATCAATCTGGGTCTCAACAATACAAAAAAGGGTAGGGGCAAAATTGTTCGCAATATCGCGAAGTTCTCTAACTGTCGCAGCGTTGCCCGCGCCACGACAGTT